ATTTTTCACAAAGAATATAGTTTTGATTTTACGAGTTTCCCTACACACCGTGCTATCTACATACCTATTTGCATAAAATTATAGCCGTTTTCGTTGTTCGGACTAAACTGAAAAACCACTTAATAGAGTTTCGTCAGATTGTCGGAGGTTATCTTACATACATATATGGTCCTATTAAATACATGCTAAAAGAAAACTCGCTATGTGGTGCCGAATTAAAGTCATTTATAAAAATCGTATTTATTAACCGATTTCGTTCAAATTTAAAATGTGTGATTCTTTTGATAAAAATTGACCCGATGAGTGCCACTGGAGTCGAGGTTGAAATTCATAACACGTATTTATTTTATGGTAGGCATTGGTTTTGCAGAAAATGGACCCAATGGATGGCGCTGCAGCCGAAATGTATAGAAACTCCGTATGGTTGGTCTGCTTTGGCCCTATGTTTAAGTTATACGAATTTAGTTTTCAGATGTCTAAATGAAGGATGGGGTAGGTTTGTCTGACGCCCTCATGCACGATCATGCGAAATTTCATCTACCTAGAAATCAGTTCATATTACCACGGATTGTAAAAGTGGCGAATTAACAAGGAAAGATCACCGTAGGTATATCAGTTGCTTCATTTGAAAGATACTCAAAAAATCACTCGACTCATTTAAGCAATTTACCGGAAAACTTTGCATCCTGTGGGATAGCGAGGATTCCTGGGCCTCCTATAACAGATAGCCCATTTCTGTGCTCTTGAGTTTCCTTATAAGAACTTTTATTGGCATACGCATCGCACCTATGTTTTAGTTGCAAGATCATAGAAAAAGATTACGCATGCTTAGCAGAGGTCTCACAGGTGGAAATAAGACCATCGGTAAAACTCATGGCACCGAAAGGGATTGGTATTCCATATGATATCTTAGCGTTACTATTACTGGCGTATCTGTGAGGAGGATAATGCGCCTAGTGGTTTCAACTTAAATCACAAATTTTGACTTTACAGACTATTTTTGCTTTTAAATGCTCTTTTGCATTGGCCAACGCAAAAGTTCTCATTAGACGCGGCGAAGTAAGCGGGCATTGGCTAGTATAAAATAAAAATCAAAAATAATTGTTATTTTGGATTTATAATATAAAAATCAAAATTAATTGTAATTTCTTTAAATTTTGCATAAAAATATTCAACAATTTATATTAAGCTCGAGGCCGTTTTTTAAATGAAAATTTATTGTGGAAAAGTAACAATAATTTGAAAAAATGGTAGAAGTGATAGCTATTTCGGAAATCACCACATTTCCTCATCAGACTTCTTTCAGTAGGATTCGAACCGACGATCCCACTGACTCAGCCAGTTGCCTATGCACCGTGCTAAGTACGCCTTGTAAATTATCGTTTGCTTATTTCCACAATTTTCATTTTTGTTATGCCAACACAATCAAGCGCAGCTGTTCCGCTGCAATTCACTTGATCATGTGGTTGTTGGTATTGTTGGTTTTTCTAATAATTCTATTTTTAGAATGTTTAACTTTTAGGTGTGCTCGTCCTTAAGTTATTTGTTTTTGTAATTTTTTGGCCTTATAGCAATTATATTCAACATTTTATATTGAGCTCGAGGCCGTTTTTATACCCGAGCGCACTTATGCACAAGGGTATATTAATTTTGTTCACATAACGGTTGTTTGTAACAGCCAAAACGAATCGAGATAGATATAGACAAATGTATACATAAATGATCAGAATGAAAAGAGAAATCGATTAAGCCATGTCTGTCTGTCCGTCCGTCTGTCCGTCTGTCCGTCCGTTCGTGTACACGATAACTCGAGCAAAAATTGAGATATCTCAACGAAATTTTGTATGTAGCTTTCCATTTATCCAAGGTAGGTTGATATTGAAAATGGGCGAAATCTGACTGTAACCACGCCCACTTCCCATATAACGGTAATTTTCAAAAATACGAAAACTGCGATATTTTAGTAACTACTGAATATTATTCACTCAAAATTGATATTTACAATAAGTTTTCGACGAAAAATAAGAATATTATAAATTTTCGGAAAATGGGCGTAGCCACGCCCACTTATTATACATGTGTATATCTTGGTAACCGCTACACCAATTTCTTCCAAACTTGGCACAGTTGTTGGCCTTCGCACAACATACCAAATGGCCGAAAATTTTTAAAATCGGACAATAACCACGCCCACATCCCTTATAACGGTAATTTAGAGAAATACAAAATCTTCAATAAATCGGTAAATATTAAAGATAATTTATTAAAAATTGATGCTTGCAACAATTTATAACCAAGAAATACGTTTGTGATAAAATTTTGGAAAATGGGCGTGGCACCGCTTACTTATGATCACATATATGTATCTCGGTAACCGTTCTACCAATTTGTATGTATATCGGTATGGTTATTGTGCTTGCCACATAAAAGCAAAACGTTGAAAATTATTGAAAGCGGACTAAAGTTGAGGCCGCTTTTCATATAACGGTAAATTTCAGAACTGCTTGAAACTTCAAAATTTCGATGTCTAAGGACTCTAATTTACTCAAAATTGATACGCCCCGGCTTACAATGTAGCGGTAGCTTTCGGAAAGGTGAAAATACGTGCGCCGGGTATTTAATGTTCAGCTCCGCCCGAACTTAGACTTTCTTACTTGTTTAAATGAAAATTTATTGTGGAAAAGCAACAATAATTTGAAAAAATTGTACAAGTGATAGCTATTTCGGAAATCACCACATTTCCTCATCAGACTTCTTTCAGTAGGATTCGAACCGACGATCCCACTGACTCAGCCAGTTGCCTATGCACCGTGCTAAGTACGCCTTGTAAATTATCGTTTGCATTTTTCAACTATTTTCATTTTTGTTATGCCAACACAATCAAGCGCAGCTGTTCCGCAGCAATTCACTTGATCATGTGGTTTTTGGTATTGTTGGTTTTTGCTAATAATTCTATTTTTAGAATGTTTAACTTTTAGGTGTGCTCGTCCTTAAGTTATTTGTTTTTGTTATTTTTTTGGCCTTATAACAATTATATTCAACAATTTATATTGAGCTCGAGGCCGTTT